AGCCCCCTGGCTGTCCCCCTTTTTCTTTTTTTTTTTTTTTTTCACTTTTAGTGGTATTTATTCCAGCAACCTCAGCATTGTTACAAAAGCCTTCTTAGATTTACCTTCTCAGATATTTTAACTCTTGCATAACAGATTGACGAATCATCTTTGAGGCACAAAGAGCCAATAGAAGTGAAAGATGTCATCATACAGAGAAATGTGGTTAAGCTGAAGCTTGGAAGAGATCTCATGCAGACTCTGACTCTTGCCTTAGCTCCATAAGCAGTCTGCAGTAGCTGATCCCCTGACAAATGACAACAAAGATGATCACACTTGCTGAGGGGTTTCCCGAGGAGTTCTCTAACAGAGGTGGTAAACGGGTGACCATTCATTCCTTGAGAAAGGATTCCTGTTGGATACCCGGAAGTATCTGTCAGCCAAAGCCATTATTTGTTCTCTTCACATCTCCTTAACTTGGAAGAAGTATGTGAGGCTGTACTGTGGGCCCTATCTTTTGCCGTGTGTGCATTGGACTCTGATTCCGTCAATCTTTCTTCTTTGGAATCTGGAGAGGCATCTAGTGGATCAGCCATGGAGGAGGCAATAAGGATTTTCTTTGCCTGGAAATAATTACAGGCTTTCTTTCCATAGACTAACAGTGTGATACTCTTCCCACTACTCTGGATTTTGCCCACCATTTTCTCATCGGGTTAATCCAGCACATTCACCCGATTTACTTCGATGATGCTATCCTTGTCCTCCAGCCCAGCCAAGGGAGCAAGGCTGCCATTCTGTGCCTCATTGGTGAATGAGCTTAGCATACCCTGAACTGAAATGAAGTGAAAGGCATAGTCATTTTCACCTAAAAAAATTGAGCACTTCATAAATTTGTGTGTCATCTTTGCTCAGGGGCCATGCTAATCTCCGTATTGTTCCAGTTTTAGTCTATGTGCTGCCAAGGCAAGCATGCTGGCCCTCTTTTTTATTTTTTTATTTCTTCCATGCGTGAAAGAGAGCGAGCAACAGAGAGAGAGAGACTGTGAGACAGAAAGAAAGCACCCTTAACAATGTCTTTTTGTTTGCTTATTTTAGTTTTTGCTATAGGCCTCATGCACCTGCCAGAAACAGAGAGAGAAAAAGTGAAAAATCACCCCTTAGGGGGCATGGTCACGCTACAGTCCCTTCTCCTCCATTCTCCTCTTGGGATTTTGGGCACACATACACCCTGTGCAGGTCCTTGGATCTGAGTTAACTGTAACTTGTTAAGTCAGTTTAAACACTCAGTATAAGTAATTTTCATTTTAACTTGTACATGAAATCATGGGGAAATAGAATATAATACTCTGGGTGTGAACCTTGAATTTTTCAACATGGGTCATCCTCGCAGAGCATTGACTTTTCCTGCTGCTCCACTACCTGGCCTCTTTTTAGTACTGTTTGTTTATTTTTTAATTTTTAATTAATTAATTATTTTTTTGCTATAGGGTGCTTGTGCTCACAGGTGGTGGGGGGAGCAAGTGAGAACAGATCCCACAAGGATGACTGTCCCTCAGTCCCTTCTCCTCCATTCTCCTCTTGGGATTTTGGGCACACATACACCCTCATTTGGCATGATTTTCCAAGCTACCAGGTCTGCGACTTGAACCCTGTAGTCAGCCATGTGGGAGTCCAGGATATTGGATAGGAGACTGGCAATGTGGATACCAACGTGGCATCAAGCTTCAGACCAAACTGAGGGCCTTTCAGGTATGACACTCTCTCCTCCTCCACGGCTCTGAACCCCAAACACTTCGGTGCCAAGGTTGATTCATCAACATCATAACTCCCCTTGAGTTGTTATAGGCTGCTGGATATGCTGAGCAGCCCTAAGAATTTTCTAGAGTGTGGCAATTGTTTGAGTATTTAGAATTTCAAAGTAGAATAGGTATGACTAGTGAGGAAGTGGTAGCAAAACTCATTAAAAAAAAAAAAGTGGGATGTGGCATTCAGCAATGATGTTGAATCATTTAAACCAAGGCCTGGAATGGGGAAGGCAAGTCACCCACAGGACTGAAGGATCAAAGCACAGGCAGGCCCCCAGTGGGCCAGTAATGCAGCAGCTGAGTGCTGTGCCCGTGGCGCTGGATCCCACAAGGCTGACTGCTGTTTCTATCCCAGCCTTGGTGGCTTGCAAATCACACTAGGTGCATTTGTTGTATGCCTCAAATCTTGGCAGGATGCAGTTATGGAGGAAAAAGGGTTGTGGCGTGACTGTGTCCCACAGGAGGTTGTTCTTTTTTGGAAATGCATGGTCTGGAAGTTATTTTAAAAAAAAGAAAAAGAAAAAGAAAAAAAGGCCGATCATTACATGTGAGCATGATTTGATAGCTTTAAAGGCTTTACATCTTACCTTGGCATACACTGCACTTTTGATTGTGACTGTAATGGCCAGTCACTCTCTAAAGAATACCTTCATGCTTTGTCTTTCTCCTTTTTGGTGTACCGGTGATACCCATCAGCACGCTTTGTTGAAGCGTCTTGTAGTCAAGATGAACAAGATGAGAAACCAGGAGGTACTCCTCCCGTCCCACGTACCTTTAGTTTAGTTAGCCATTAACCAGGTTGCCATATGACTGGGCTCTGTCCTGAAACAAAGACCTTGTTCATTGTCTGATAAATCTCGTTTGATGACACTGAGTAAATCAGGTTTATTTGCACATTCCAAAGATTATTGCTCAGGATTCCATGGCCATTGGGAAGGGCTTTGCATAAGCACACAGACAAAAATGCACTCTTTGCCTTTGAAGGGACACCATTTTTTAATTTCTGAAGACAATCTAGCATTTATAATCTGTTAAAATGACATTTGAATCGTATTAATTGGTATATAGGTCATTTGGATTAAGATACCATTAAACCTTTAAGTTAGAGATGGAGGTAATTGCAGGGATACTTGCCTCATTCTTTAATAATTTCACACTCTTACGGGTCTGCTGGATGTGCATGAATCCTTCAGGATGTCATGAGATGATGGTAGACCATACCTTTCTTGATGATAGGTACATAGCTATAACTTAAAAGTATATCTGTAGTCTGGCTAATGGACAAAGTAAATTTATGGATGGACCAATGGGGCTTAGCAGTCCAGGCCTTCAGCTGAGGAGGGAGGGATCTACTCAAGGTGGTTACCACAGGGGACATCCATAGGTCACCATGCACCTGGGGTATCTGACTTGCTGGCTCTTGCATCTTCCTTGAGGATTCATCTGGCTCCCATCATGGCTCTGGCTCTGGGGCTCACATCCCCTCTTTCTGGAAATCCCAATGGAATGAAAAAGCATATTTTTAGCACAATCATGTAGAAATGCAAACAACTCCAGAGTTCATGCCCTCCTTGGGATTTACTTCAGTAAACAGTACAAACTAATAAACTGAATCTTTGTGGGACTTTTGCTTCCATCTGGGGTGTGTGTGAGTATGTGTGCATGTATGCACATACATGTGTCCAAATTGAGTTACACGTGCATTCTGAATTTCTTGGCCAGATTGCCAAGTTCTCCTCAAATCTCAAAAGAACATTCAAAGTCCCACTCCACTGGGCTCCTAATTGAGAGAACAATTCCCCCCCCCCATTCATCTCTATGCCCTGCAGCCAAATACCTTCTCAAGTTAATCTTCTTCAAGAACAGCTTTGTTCTAGCCACACACTAAATCTTTGCCCTATACCACCCCCACCCCATCCCCATCCTCACTCAAAACCCTTCAATAGATCCTCATTGTCTAAATTATTTGACTGGCATAAATGCCCTTCAAAAATTGGTCCAAATCTACACCAGTAGCTTTAAAGCACCTGCATCTTGACTTACTGCACATTCCAGCTAAACTAGGCAGTGTGTAAAGATCAAAGTGGTCCCAAGACGAGCCTGAGTATGGCAGTACTAGAGGTTTGGAAGAAGAGGAAGATGCAGAAAAGGCAAAAAGACACACCCAGTGAAGAAGAGAGAGCAGTGGAGTGCTCTGGAGGCTGACCAAATGGTGTCTTCAGGAAGGCTTTGGGAGCAGTTTGGTCAAATGCCACTGTGAGTGAGGTGAAGGCTGAGTGTTGCTCACTGGATTGGGCATATGAGCTCATTGGTGGTCTTGTAAATGAAGCTTAGTAAAGGGGTGGAGACAGAAGCCAGACGGGAGAGGGCTCCAAACAATGTGGGATGAGAGCACACAATGATAGGGAGTCATAGGTAACTAAGACCTTACCATAAAGGGAAGCAGGGAAATAGGGCGCTGCCAGGAGGGAAGACAAGGCCGTCTTAGTCTAGTCTGTTTTATGCTGCTGTAACAGATTACCACACACAGGGCAATTTATACAGAGTAGAAATGTATTTCTCCCAGCTCCAAAGTCTGGAAAATCCAAGATCAAGGTGGTGGCAAGTCCGTTGTCTGCTGAAGGCCCAGTCTCCACTTCCAAGATGGCGCCCTGACCACTGCATCCCCCAGAGGGGAGGATTACTGTATCCTCACGTGGTGGAAGGTAGAAAGGCAAAGGAACAATGAGTTCCCTCCACCAAGGTCCTTTATAATGTCACCTAATCTCATTCGTAAGAGAGAAAGACTTAATCATTCCTCAACACACTGGTACTTCAAAAGTTTGTGGGAAAATGGAATTAAAATACAAGTTTATTGTGGGGCTGGCAAGTGGCATAGTGTTTAAGGGTGCTAGACTCCCACATGGCTGACCACAGTTTGAGTCCCAGACCTGGCAGCTAGCATTCTCACTTTCTGTCTCTCTCTCTCTCTCTCCCTCTTCCTCTCTGGTCAAATTAAAATAAATAAATAAGTAAAGTTAAAATAAAATAATATTTTAAAGAATTATTTTATTTTTGATTTATTCATCCAATTATATTTTAATTTTACCAGAGGGAGGGAGGGAGAGGAGAGAGAGAGAGAGAGAGAGAAATCGAAAGTGAGATAAGCAAGCCACCAGGTCCAGGACTTGAACCATGGTCAGCTATGTGGGAGTGTCCAGCACCTTAACCACCACTCCATCTGCTGGTCCCCAAAATAAAATAATTATTAAAATAATACAAGTTTATTTTGGTAGAAAGACAGTTTGAAAACCATGCATTTGCTTTTTCATCATATGTATTATTATTATATTATTATTATTATTATTTTTGCTAGCGGTTGCTTGTGCCCACCAGGGAGACACAGAAAGACAGTAAAAGACTGACCATGGAGAATCATCATACTACAATTCTTTCTCTTCCATTTCCTTTAGGGAGTTTGGACCTGCATGACATGTGCCTGGCATGTTTCTCAAGCTGCTGGATCTGGGACTCAGCATGATCAGTCGTGTGGGACCTGGCTGCCTTAACCACCAGGCCATGGAGCTGGCCCAATATCATATGCATTTTTTTTTTTTTGGAGAAGTTTTTGCTATAGGGCGCATGTGCTTGCCAGACAGAGAGAGACAGAGAGACAGAAAGCGAGAAATCGCCCTCCAGCGGAGAGGGCCACACTGCAATCCCTTCTCCTCCATTCTCCTCTCAGGATCTTGGGCACGCACGCACACGTGCCTGGCGTGAGTTTAAGCCACCAGGTCCGGGACTCGAACCGCAGTCCACTACGTGGGAGTCCAGTGACATAGCCATTCCGCTAACTGCTGGTCCCTCATATGCATTTTTCATGAACTTTTTGTACAGCACTCCCAGGAGTCCCCCCTTCTGTGGTTTCACTTTTTGTGTGAAATCGGTTTCAGTTATCCATTGTTAACTGTGGTCTGAAAATAAGTCAGAACAGTACAAGATATTTTGAAAGAGAGAGAAAGACCACGTTCACACACTTATTACAGCCTATTGTTACAATTATATTTTATTATTGTGAATATCTCAGTGTGTCTAATTTATAAGATATTTATTTATCTATTGATTTTATTTATTTATATTTTAATTTTACCAGGGTTGGGGGGAGAGAATGCAAGCCACCAGGTCTG